ATCTCTCTTTTTTTAATCTCTTTGCTCCTTAGGAATGTTCTTTATGGGATGGCGCAATTCATTAAACTTTAATTCTGAATGTTAGCTAGCCTTTCGATTTAAGTTGTATGTCTTCTGCTAACATGCATCTCCCATCCTCTCTTGCTTCCTGGGGTAGAAATGGGAAGTTTCTACCCCTTCTGGTGGCTCAGCAGACTAAAGGCATTGTGATTAACACCAGCTGTCTGCAATTACTGCAAGTTCAAATCTCACCAGGCTCAAGGTTGACTCAGCCTTCCATCCTTTCTAAGGTAGGTAAATTGAGGACCCAGTTTGTGGGGGCAATAAGCTGACTTTGTATAAATATACAAAAGGATGAAGGCTATTGCTTAACGCATTGTAAGCCGCCCTGAGTCTCCGGAGAAGGGCGGCATATAAATCAAATTAAAAAAAAAAAAAAGAACTGGGAGGGAAAAAAATCCTCTTTCCCCCCCCAATTTTTCCAGTTTTCTTCCAGGTCTTCCCATCTCTATTCCTGGGGCTCATCAGTGAGTTTCACTTTTGACTTTCACTTCCATCATGCTCAGCCACCTTTTGTCTTTCCAGTCATGGGGGTTCCAGGCCAGCAGGAAAAACTTAATTTTGTTCCTCAACTTCTATTAAATTGGGTACAGCAATTACAAATGAAGTTTGTAAGGAGGAAAGTTCACTGCTACCTCATCTTTCTGTTTCAGAGACAGGTTTCAGGAAAGTCTAATTCTGCAGACCTGACGTACCCAGGGATTATTGAGTCCACTGAAGAATATAAATTTGTGGAAAGGCTAATACCACCTACTACAGTACCCGTACCTCCAAAACACGACCAGTATCCTACACCTTCTGGATGGAGGCCACCACAAGGTAAAACGAGGCAAAATATTTCCAAATTTGATTTTCTTAATGTATAAAATTTGAAAAAGTGTTCTAATAAGTTTCTTCCCTGAAAGGAAAATTGAGCAAAATTAGGACTTCTTGGTAGAGTAATTGCATTCATTATATAATAAAAAACAGCTTCTAATAACTCAATTCTTCCTAAATCACACCTCTGTTGTAACTTCACATTTTATATTTTTTAAATTAAGTGTGTACAAAATTAATAGTTGAGCAAGAGGCAGGTAGATCTCCCTGGCCAGATTCTGTTATAAATTGCTTATCATATAAAAAGACAATATAGTTGTATTTATTTTTGGTCTCCAATTCTTTCACAGATCCTCCTCCTGATATTTCTTACTTTGTACGACGGTCACGCATGCACAATATACCTGTGTACAAAGATACTTCTCACCATGGAACCAGGAAGTTGACTATTATCAGGAAAATTGAAGGTGATATCTGGGTAGGTTATACCTTTCTCTATAAGCTGGTATAAGAGCTGTTGACACTGTGAGTTGATTTGAATTCTTCAAATCTCTCTGGAGATTCTCAGTCATCCAGGTCAATGTTGTCCCAAAGGTGCTTTTTCAAAAGGCAACTGGACTTCCTTGCTTTTTCTCTGAAGATGTTTCGCTTCTCATCCAAGAAGCTTTTTTAGTTCTGATGATGTTGTGGTCTGCCGGCAGCCTGCGAAGCAGGCAGCAGAGTTGGACAGTGAGGAGGCTGGGAAGGAACATGGGCCAGTCCTGAAGTCTGGGGAAGGCTCGGACGAGGGCTCTGCATCGGAGGCAGAGAGGGGGCCAGGGCCATCTGGGAGTTATGTGCTGACTCCGGAGCCTCCAGAGTCTGACGTCAGTGAGGCAGAGGAACAGAGGGAGCCTGTTCCCAGTGTGCATGCACACTTCTGTCAGAAGGCAAGAACAGTTAAGACAAAAGGGGCAACTCGGGAGTAAGGCTTGGAAATGTTTGGCCCCTCCTATAAGACATAAAGGAGGAGCAAAGGCACGTGAGCCTTTGTAGGAAGCAACTTTGTTCGTGCTGGTCGGTTTAAATTCTGAAGCTCCATTTTGACTCTGTGCTCTGTGTGGCCTTGCAAAGCTCATTGCCAATTAGGTCTTTGGCAGCGTGTCAAGAGAGATAAAGGTGGGTGCTTCTCAGCCTTATTCCCGAAGGGCTGTGGCAAACTTCCGTCAGACTCTTTACAAACTGTGACTCAACACGGGCTGTGAATGAACAGAATTCACAGCCAGTGAAATAAAATTAGTTTTTGGGACTAATTGTGTACTTTTTACTGTCTCAGGAAGCCTAGGTCAGAACAGATGAAGGTTCTTGGATGAGAGGCAAAAGTTCAGTTTCCTTTTGGAAAAAGCACCTTTGGGACAACCATGATTCTGGATGACTGAGAGAGCACGAGCAGAAGTGCCCTCTGCTTGCGCAAGTGGAGCTGCGCACACGAATGCAAGGGCCCACCACTCGTGCGAGTGGAGCTTCGCGTGCGTGTGCTTGCCCACCACTTGTGAGTGGAGCTTTTCACGGGCACGCTTGCCCATCGCTCGCGCTTACGGTTTCAAACAGGCCGCAGCCCATTAGTGGGCTACGGCCCAGCGGTTGGGGACCCCTGTTCTGTCTGTCTGTTTGGGCGATCGCTTGCAGGCTGCAGTTGGTTCAGACCGCGGTAGCCAAGGGGAGCTTGTGAGATCACGGCTGCAGGCCCTACACTGGTTATTGGTAGGCTTCCGGGTTCTATAGAAATCAAGCAAATAAATAAATACAGGGAGTAACCTGTACATTTACATTTTTTTCTTTTTCTCCAGGCCCTAGAGAACGACGTGAAGGCCTTCCTTACGGAATTGTCCGGACGAACGCCAGCAACCCAAGTCAATGAAAATACCTGTAGTATCTGCGTCAAGGGCTATTTTGAAGAAGAACTCAAGACGTGGTTGATGGACAAAGGCTTTTAAATAAAGGATAGCAGATGTGGCAAGATCTGTCCCTTTGCAAAGATGTGTGTTGTGACCCAGGCCCAAATAAGTAGTAGGAAAATCAGTCCGTGAAAAAAAACAAACTTTATTTGAACAGCTGAGAATGACTTCATTCCCACCGTCGTTCAACTAAATTAAAGCAAATTCCTCACAACACAAATTTCTCAGTCCTATTGCAAACCTTGGTCCAATTAGGCGAACTGCCAAAGGCCTTTCTTGGCAAACGTTCAGAAGTCACAGATACAAAAATAAATACAAGACGTAGACGACGAAGACAACGAAGCTACCAATGTTGTTTTCCGGCAAAGCCCAAAAGTCGTTGCTGGTCTGTTTTAAGCCTTATGAGAGGGGCCAATCATCTCTTGGCCTTACTCCTGAGTTGTCCTCTTTGCTTGACCTGCTCCTGCCTTCTGGCAGCTCTTCTCATACATGCACTAGGAACAGGCTCCTCCTGTTCCTCTGTCTCTCTACTGTCAGTCTCTGGAGGCTCCGGAGTCCACACCTCATTCCCCGATGGCCCTGGCCCCATCTCTGCCTCTGACGCAGAGCTGTCATCCGGGCCTTCCCCAGCCTCCAGGACTGGCCCATGTTCTTCCTCAGCCTCATCGCTGTCCGACTCCGCTGCCACTCCGCAGGCTGCTGGCAGACCACGACAATGTGCTTGAGAAACTTGTTCTTGCCCAATGGGTAATTCTGGCTTAGTCCAGAATTACCCATCGGGTGTGATTGTGTACTTTTTCAGGAGGCAACTGGACTTTTTCTTTGAAGAGGTTTCGCTTCTCATCCAAGGAGCTTCTTCAGCTCTGACTGGATGGAGGGGAATGGAAGGATTTATATTCCTTGCAGGCAGCTGGTCACTTGCGTTCTTTTAGAGCCGTTGAGGCCACTTGGGAGGTTTGTGTCCTCAGGGTCACCTGAGTAGTGCAAATGGGTCTCGAGCCTTCTTGGACGATCCAGTGGGTTTTTCTAAAATTGATTTCTCTAGGTAGTCCTCTACTTACGACCACCATTGAGCCCCAATTTTTTTTTTTTGTTAAGCGAGTTTGCCCCATTTTATGACCTACCTTGCCACAATTGATAAGTGAATCACAACAGCTGTTAAGTGAGAAATAAGGTTGTTAAGTGAATCTGGCTTCCCCATCGATTTTGCTGGTCGGAAGATCCCAAAAAGGAGATCGCAGGATCCTTGGATATGGCAACCGTCATAAATATGAGCTAGTTGCCACGTGACCATGAGGAGGATGTCGTAAAAGTGAAAAATGGTCATAGGTCAATTTTTTCAGGGCTGTTTTAACTTTGATTGAACTGTTGTGAGTAGAGGACTATCTGACCTGTAATTCCTTCTAGGACACAGGTTTTAAAATTTGCGACTTTGTCTTCGTGACGCTGTGGTGAGCATGGGCTGCGCATGACACATCCAGCCTGTAGGCTGCCAGTTTGACACCCCTGTCCTGGGATTTCCTCTTGGTCTCCCATCCAGATAGAAATTGAGCTGACTGACTCTGGATCTAGGTGTGGCTGACTATTAATACCCGCTGAGACGGATCTTTCCTTAAGGCAGCGTCAACCTTGGCAACTTTTAAGATAGGTGGACTTCAACTCCCAGAATTCTTCAGCCAGCATGGAGTTGAGGTCCACCGCCTCTTAAATCATGCTGGCTGGGAAATTCTGGGGAGCTGGAAGTCCACCCATTGTCAGGTTTCGAGATCGTCTCAAATAAATTGCATTTCAAACAAAGTCTTTGAAGAAAACTCCCATTTATTTAGCACGACATTCTAACTCCGACTCCATTGCAGCCAACACTGACTTCCAGACCCAAAACCCTCCTTTTCCATTCCCCACTCCCCTGCACTCATTGGCCATCTTCCAAGTCACTCTACCCCTAATCTACTGCTCCAGCTCAAAGGAATTTCCCCCCTCCCATCCCATCTCCTAGGGGATATTATCTCCAGGGAAAATAAGTAGGTGAAAAGTCAAAACGTCCCTTTCCAGACGCCTCCGCTTCTCCTTATGTCAGCACTAGAGTAAATGCAGCTTGAAGTGCCGACACCCATCTTAAAAGTTGCCAAGGTTCAGAAACACTACCTTAAAGCAATCTCACTATGTGTCTGAATAAGAACAGGATGAGACATTAACAGTTCCATTTTATTTACAGCTGCAAAAAGTGAAAATGTACAGAGGAAACCCTTTTACAAAAAAAATAATAAAATAAAAATTGCTGTTTCCGAGGCCTTGTTTTAAAATGAAATGAGATTTGCACCCAGGGAGAGGATGCTGGATCACAACAGTCTGTGGTTGTGCATCTTCAGAATCGACTCTGCTGGAGTTCCCTTGAGCGCGGAATTCTTTCAGCCCTGCCATGGAAGGAAGGAAATCTTGCTTCTTCACGCAGGATCTCTGGATGGCAACGTGTTTCTCTCCGGTTTCAGAAATTTTTGGTGGGGAAAACGATAAATCAATACAAAAAGGGGCCAGGTTTTTCTAAAGCTAGCAACCAGGCGCTCTACCGCCGCCGCGAATGAGGTGACAGTCAGACTTTTGCTCCCGTTGAGAAGTTTGAGCAAAGACAGCCGCAGCTGCCCATCAGTGCCACAAACACAACCATCTCCTGTCCGGTGTTTTTAGGTCTGTTGGTAATACTGATTGTAGTTCCACGTGTTCTGGTATCCATAGTTGCTGTAATTCTGCAGTAGCAACGGGGCAGGGGGAGAAAGCATTGATGTTAAGCGAAGAAACGTGGATTACGCAAAAGTTATTTTATATAGCTGCTTGTAAGGCGCCCAGAGTCGTTAGATACGAGATGGGGCAGCAAATAAAAATATATAAATCAATAAATAGTCTCTTCCACCGTATTCCCCAAACCAAGTTGGAGTCATAATGCCAGTCACTTTGACTGGTGAATAGAGGCAGTGAGAGCTGGAATGACTATTAATGTCCTCTATCTTTAGCAGCATTTCATTCCATCCTTTTAGCCAATTTAGCACTAGCACTTAAGACTTATATACCGCTACACACTGCTTTCCAGCCCCCTCTAAGCGGTTTACAGAGTCATCCCCTTGCCTCCAACGATCTGGGTCTTCATTTTACCGACCTCGGAAGGATGGAAGGCTGAGGCAACTTTGAGCCGGTCAGGATCGAACTGCTGACAGTAGGCAGAATTAGCTTGCAATACTGCATTCTGACCACGGCTCATCCTTCTTTCCCACTTAGCAATAGCACTTAGACTTATATACCGCTTTACAGCCCTCGCTAAGTGGTTTAGAATCAGCCTCTTGCCCTCCACGATCAGTCCTCATTTTACCAACCTCAAAAGGATGGAAGGCTGAGGATTGAACTCTTGGCTGTGGGCAAAAACTAGCCTGCAATCCTGCGTTCATAACCACTGCGCCACCACGTCTCTTGCAAGTCTTACATGGTACAGGACTACCTGAAAAGTCTCTATTCACACTAACTAGAGCACCGTGTGAAAATTGTGATTATACTCATTATTCCAGCTCTGCAGTCCAATTTGATCGCTATTGATACCTATGGATTGCGCAGATCCTGGGGTTACATTTAAAATAGTCAATCCTATCGTATACTCGGATCTGCAACCGATGCCCTGAGATCCCCTAGTACGGCAGGGCCTAACGCACCCTCCCAATATGGCGGCTGTGCTTTCTGGGAATTGTAGTCCCAAGATCGCCAGGGGGAGGGGGGGGCAGATGCTTCACAATCTGATGCCAACTGCCTTGGGCAACTCACCTGGTACCACGTGTTATAGTTGTAAGAGCCCGCTGTGCTGGTATCCGTCGCCATCAAGGGCGTGATGCCCGTTGTCGACATGGCTACGCTGCCACCGCCCATGGCTGCATCTTCAAGCCTCAATCGTTTGTCATCGGCTTCATCAGCGCTGCTTGGGAATTCCAAAAAGAGCCGATGTCAGCTGGTCACCTTTGGCTCGGTTGCAACACCAGGCCATTCGTGGGGATTGCAACTTTTTTTTTTTTTTTAATTTGATTTATATGCCGCCCTTCTCCGAAGACTCAGGGCGGCTTACAATGCGCTAAGCAATAGCCTTCATCCTTTTGTATATTTATACAAAGTCAGTTTATTGCCCCCACAATCTTGGGTCCTCATTTCACCTACCTTAGAAAGGATGGAAGGCTGAGTCAACCTTGAGCCTGGGGAGATTCGAACCTGCAGTAATTGCAGGCAGCTGGTCTTAATAACCAGCTTACTAACAGGGTGCCTTAAACCACTGTACTACCAAGTCTCTTCCTCAAGAAAATGTAGCCAGGCTCTGTGGTGGGGTCTGCCCCATAGCAGAGCCACCCCACTCCCACCTAGGAAACCTCTGAGTCTGTTAGCCTTTTGGAAGGCTGACAGGTACTGGCTCAGGATGCTCCTGGAACCCACAATTTGGGGGGGGGGGTCTGCCCTGTGCCGATTGTGGAGTTGGTTTGTTTATTTATTTACGCAGTTCACAAGAAAACAAAAGTATAAAAGAATAAAAAAGGCAGAGATGGCAGCAATGGGAAGGCATCCCCCTCATCTCAATGTTTCTCAATCTTAGCAACTTTTAAGATGTGTGGAAATCAACTGAGCTCTTAACTCTACAAAGAAGATATTCAAATAACGGTTATCTTTTGAGAGCTGAATTCAACGAAATTTCATTTTAATGTATGCTGCTTAGTGTACATTTAAAGTGCCAAAATTCCTTTCCTTTCCTTTCCTTTCCTTTCCTTTCCTTTCCTTTCCTTTCCTTTCCTTTCCTTTCCTTTCCTTTCCTTTCCTTTCCTATCCTCTCCTCTCCTCTCCTCTCCTCTCCTCTCCTCTCCTCTCCTCTCCTCTGCCAAATAGTTTAATCCAGACATAATGCCAATCTATTGGTCAGGTGGAAAGCACTATGTTTTGTAGAAAAACTTTTAAAGATTTTTTAAAAAGCCTGTTCAGTATAATTTACCATCAAAATCTAAACTCTCTCCAAAATACATGTCTTAGAAAAGTATTTTCAATAAATCACCTTGAATTTTCTTTTAACTGATAATAAACGAGGGTCCATACCTCACCGCAAGCCACAGTTTGCTTGATTATGGCTGGATGGGTTTAGATAAAGAACAAATGTTTGGCATTGTGTAAAAGTGCTGGCTTAGAAACCAGGAGATGGGGAGTTCTAGTTCCACTTCAGACATGAAAGCCGGCTAGGTGACTTTGGGCCAATTGCCAGAAGATTGTGAGTTCTAGTCCTGTCTTAAGTCATGAAAGCCAACTGGGACTTAGGGCCAGTCATTCACTCTCGGTCCAACACAACTCACAGGGTTGTTGTGGGGAAAACAGGAAGACGTAGAAGCATTACGTATGTTGGCTGCCTTGAGTTAGTTATGAAACTAATAAGGGCAGATAGATAGAATAGATAGATGATAGATAGATAGATAGATAGATAGATAGATAGATAGATAGATAGATAGAATATCTATATATTTTATCTATCTCTATCTTCTCTTTCATCCATCTCTCTCTACATCCACATCTATCTATCTATCTATCTATCTATCTATCTATCTATCTATCTATCTATCTATTATCCATCCATCCATCCAATCTCTCTCTCTCTCTCATCTCTCTCTCTCATCTATATCAATCATCTATCTATCTATCTATCTATCTATTATCCATCCATCCATCCATCCAATCTCTCTCTCTCTCTCATCTCTCTCTCATCTATATCAATCATCTATCAATCAATCAATCTATCTATCTCCAGCTGGTCCAGAATGCGGCCACGCGGGTTGTTACGGGAGTTTCCCGTTACTCCCGTGTAACACCTCTCCTGCGCGAGCTGCACTGGCTGCCAGTTGCCCTTCGGATCTGCTTCAAGGTGCTGGTTCTTACCTCTAAAGCCCTACATGGCATGGGCCCAGGATATTTGCAGGACCACCTCCTACCGGCCTCCCACCACCCTGTGTGGTCACATAGGGTTGCCCTCCTCCGGGTGCCATCGGCCAGACAATGTCAGCTGGTGGCCCCCAGGATGAGGGCATTCTCGGTGGCCGCACCAACCCTCTGGAATGGGTTACCCATCAGGCTCCGACCTCCGCACTTTCTGCACTGACCTGAAGATATGGCTGTTTCAGCAATTTCCCTGATCTACTACGAGATTTTATTCTGTTTGAGGTTTTATATTGGCTATTTTTAGGATTTCTTATTGTTACATGTTTTTATTCTGTGCATCGCCCTGAATTCTACGGGAGAAGGGTGGCATATAAATTTAATAAAATAAATAAATATCCATCTATCTATCGTCTATATCTATCAATCATCTATCATCTCTATCTATCCATCCGTCCATCCATCCATCCATCCACAAACTGCACTATGGCTTGGTGCAATGCACAAACTGAGTCTTGGCCAGGCAATCTCTGTTTGTTCCCTCCAAAATGCAAACGCAACTAGAGAGGGAAAGAAGGATTGAGTGGCAGGAAGGGAAGTATTCTTACCCATTTTCCAGAAGCCTCTTCCTCATCATCTGCTGGTTCAGGAGTTTCTGATGCTCTTCGTAGCACATCAGCAGGCTGGGAGGACAGAAGGGAGGGGGTGAACTTCGGTCCTTTGATCTGGGTCGTCAGAGGCTGAAGAGAACGTGCTTAGTGCTTCCTCTCTTCTCCCCATCCTTACCTGTTTATGCTCGATCCAAAATCTTCCAGAAACTCCACCCTGCGCTGGGAGAAGATGATCTTGGTCTCCAGGGGCAGCCCGCTGGTCAAGGCCCGGTCGAAACTGCTCATGGTGTTGCCTTCGTTCTGCCGGACATCAGCGCTGAATTCCATCTCCAAGAGGTTCGCATAGAGCTTGGCGTTGTCCTGCACCCAAAGCAAATCCGGCCGTGGCATTTTGGGGAGGAAAAGAGGAAGAGAAAATTCAGAAGAGCAAAGGGCAGATCCAAGTAATCATCCAAATCAGGATTTCTGAACCCCAGCAACTGGGAGATGGGTAGACTACAGCTCCCAGAATTCCTCAGCCAGCAGGCTTTAAGATGGGTGGACTTCAACTCCCAGAATTCCCCAGCCAGCAGGCTTTAAGATGGATGTCAGCATTCTGATGCTGCCATAAAAAGACGATGACATCGAAACCTGACAATGGGTGGACTTCAACTCCCAGAATCCCCCAGCCAGCATGCTTTAAGATGGGTGGACTTCAACTCCCAGAATCCCCCAGCCAGTATGCTTTAAGAGGGGTGGACTTCAACTCCCAGAATCCTCCAGCCAGCAGGCTTTAAGATGGGTGGCCTTTCCCAGCCCATGCTGGTTGGAACTTCGAACAGTCACTAAATGAACTGTTGTAAGTCCAGGACTACCTGTATATATATATATATTTTACTTTAGACTCTTTCTTTCAACCTAAAGAAAGTCAAGGAAGCTAATGAGGAAAAACGAAAATACAGCAGTAAACAATCTAGTTAAGAAAAACCCCGCCTAAAATTATAATAAATAACGGACTGCAGTGGTGAAATTTTACTACCGGTTCTGTAGGTGTGGCTTGCTGGGCATGACAGGGAAAGGATACTGCAAAATCCCCATTCTCTCCCCACTCCTGGGGAAAGGATACTGCAAAATCCCCATTCCCTCCCCACTCCTGGGGAAAGGATACTGCAAAATCCCCATTCCCTCTCCATTCCTGGGGAAAGGATATTGCAAAATACCCATTCCCACCCCACTCTGGGGCCAGCCAGAGGTGGCATTTGCCGGTTCTCCAAACTGCTCAAAATTTCCGCTACCGGTTCTCCAGAACCTGTCAGAACCTGCTGGATTTCACCCCTGGATAGCTGAGCTGAAAAGGTCATAAATATGAACCAGTTGCCAAGTGCCTGAATTTGGATCACCTGACCCTGAGGGTCATGCTGCAACGGTCGTTAAGTGTGAAAAACAGCGTAAGTCACTTTTTTTTCAGTGCCGTTGTAATTTTGGAACGGTCACTAAACAAATGGACGTTAACTCGAGGACTGCCTGCACAGGACCCTAAAACGGGCTTGTTTTTTTTACCGGGTCCTTCTCCAAGGCTTCGAGGAGAATCTTCCGTGCCTTGGCCAGGTTCTTCTGCACTTTGAGGACTTGTCGAGCCAGCTTGACGGAGTAGAAGGAGGAGATGGGCATCCCCTCGTTGTCCCGTATGGCTTCCATCAGGAGGGCCTCCGCCATGTCCATGTTCCCCAGCCGACGTTCCAGGCTCACCCGCCGCAAACGCACCATGACGAGGCCGGGCACATAGTCCTCGAAGGTCTTCAAGATACGCCGAGCTTCCTCCACCTCTCCTGCGGGAACACATGGAAGGACATCTTCAGGACAGGCAGTCCTCTGCTAACGAACACAACTGAGCTCAATACTTCTGTCGCTAAGCGAGGCATTTGTTCGGTGAGTTTTGCCTCCATTTTACGACCTCCCTTGCCACAGCTGTTAAGTGAGTCACTGCGGTTGTTAGGTTAGTCATTGTTCTGCCCCAGCTACGGACCCCAAAGAACGCAGCACACATAAACTCTATACAAAGCTTATTTTACTCAAATAACTCAGTATTTATCAACCAAAGGCTGTTAATAAACTTTCTTAACAGCCTACAAGAATTCTAAGATAAGGTAATTACAGTCTTACTAGAATTGGCAGAAAGCCCAGAAACAATTTTCAGACGCGAAGGAGAGTGAACTAAAGTTGTTCCCTACAGCTTGCTGCAAGTGGTGTTCCTCCTTAAATAGACTAGGGGAGTGGCCAATTAGCCCCAAGCCTTACTCTCGAGAGCTCCTCCTGAGGAGCCACTCCTGCCTTTTGGCAGCTCTGCGCGCCTGTGCATCGAGAAGAGGCTCCTCCTCTTCGTCCTCTTCACTTAAAGGAGCTTCCGGAGGTTCTGAAGGCCCTGGCTGAATCCCCGTCTCTGGCACCACATCTTCTCCAGCCTCCTCACTGTCCGACTCGAGCGCCAGCTGCACAGGCTGCTGGCGCAGCACCACACCAGCCACCTCACTGTCGGAATCAGCTACTAGCTGCACAGGCCGCTGACGGACCACAATACCCCAGCCACAGACCCCTTCAAACACAACCCTGATGCGGCCTTCAGTGAAATCGAGTTTGACACCCCTGCTGTAGAAACATCATTAGTTCAGGGCCTCAGATTATTAACTCAGATGTTATCTAGTTCAGGGGTCTCCAACACTTGGGCCATGGCCCACTACTGTGTTTCCCTGAAAATAAGACTCTGTCTTATATTTTTTTGAACCCTGAAATAAGCGCTTGGCCTTATTGCCATGCGCTCAAAAGCCCGATTAGGTTTATTATCAGGGGATGTCTTATTTGGGGCGGGGGGGAAATGGGGTACCAGGTTGTGGCCTCTTCAAAACCGGTCTGCGCGAGCACGAAGATCCACTCGCACGAGCGGTGAGTCCTGGCATTCGCATGCAAGGCTTCACTCGCGTGAGCAGAGGACGCTTAAGCGGAGGGCGCTCGAGAACTCGCCCACGAAGCTCCATTCGCACGAGTGGAGCTTCATGTGCCAGCACAAGGGCCCACCGCTTGCGCCAGTGCAGCTTCGCCCGTGAGCACCCACTGCTCACCCGCAATGCTCCGTTTGCCGCTGCTCGACCAATGGAGCTGGGCGCACATGCGTGTGTCTGTCCCTCTCTCTCTCACATACACACACCGCACCAGGCTGTGAAAGTATAAAGGTTGGGGACTTCTGATCTAGTTAGTATGTTAAGAGGTTTTGAGATTAAACCAAGGTTGCTAAGTGAATCCACCGACTTTGCTTGTTCCTTACCTTGTTTCTCCTCAAAGGCTGCCCACAAGAGGTGAATGTTGGGCTTACGAGGCAGATGGTAACAGCACGCCCGCTGGAAAACGCTCCTGGCTCCAGCTATGCTGTGGTTCTCCAGGTACCTGACATACTAAATTAAGGAAAGAAGGAGGGAGAACAGGGGGAAACATCAGAAAAAGTGGTTTTAGAGCTGCAGAGAGAAAGATGGATGCTTCATAGGACAACATTCACTCAATCTGACCCTAGAGCAGTGTTTCTCAAGCTTTTTTTTTTTTTTAGATTTATATGCCGCCCTTCTCCGGAGACTCAGGGCGGCTTACAATGCGCTAAGCAATAGCCTTCATCCTTTTGTATATTTTATACAAAGTCAGCTTATTGCCCCCACAATCTGGGTCCTCAATTTACCTACCTTAGAAAGGATGGAAGGCGGAGTCAACCTTGAGCCTTGGCGAGATTCGAACCTGCAGTAATTGCAGGCAGCTGGTCTTAATAACCAGCTTAATAACAGGGTGCCTTAGACCACTGTACCACCAAGGCTTGAAGATATGTGGACTTCAACTCCCAGAATTCCCCAGCCAGGCATGGTGGCTGGGGAATTCTGGAAGTTGAAGTCCACAAGTCTTAAAGTTGCCAAGTTTGGAGACCCCTTGTTCTGACCCAGCTTCCCAAAGATGACAAACCCTCAGAAGTTAAATCAATGATTCTTTTATTAGAAGCGCCAGCAGCCCCGGCAAAAAGTTTCTCTCTCACTGCAGACTGACAAATCCGTCCGGCAGGGAGAGGAATGAGTTGTCTGCCGCGTCTATTCATCTCCGTCCCCTGCCTTTTATCCCCAGAGCTAGGATGGGGCTTCGCTAGCAGCGGTGGCTCTTCCATCCCAAGGTCCATCCCAAGGACCGGCCCATAGATTTCCACTGCTCTCCTCTCCTCTGCCTTCTGTGCATCCACACTGGACCCAGATGTTCCTCCTCTTCCTCATCAGCCACCTCCAGACCTTTGACTCTCCATCTGACGGCTGACGGACGGCCCAGGCTCCACCTCTGTCTCTCTCTTGGCCAGCTCCATTCCCTCTTCCCCCTTGGAGCTACCAAGTTGCCCTGATGCTAACCCTGACTCCCACACCACCGCCTCCTCCTCCTCCTCTGATTCGATTGTGGGAGTGGCCACAACACCCATGTGCTATAAATTGGCCATCCTGGCTGGGGAATGCTGGAAGTTGAAGTCCATGTATCTTCAACTAGCCAAGGTTGGGAAACATTGCTCCAGAGTCTCTTCTGTTCTAAGAAAAACAAATGCGTCTCCTTCAGGGGGTCTCAGAATGATCTGCTTGCCACACACACACACACACCCCGAACTATTCATTCTGAATGGCTCCTAGTACTGTCCCTCAGCTCCAATTCAAACATGCTCATCCCAACAACATGACACTTGCAGGTTTAGGAAAGGAAAGGAAAGGAAAGGAAAGGAAAGGAAAGGGAAGGAAAGGAAAGGAAAGGAAAGGAAAGGAAAGAAAAGGGAAGGGAAGGGAAGGGAAGGGAAGGGAAGGGAAGGAAAGGAAAGGAAAGGAAAGGAAAGGAAAGGAAAGGAATAGAATAACAGAGTTGGAAGGGACCTTGGAGGTCTTCTAGTCCAACCCCCTACTTAGGCAGGAAACCCTACACCACTTTAGACCAATGGTTATCCAACATCTTCTTAAAAACTTCCAGTGTTGGAGCATTCACAACTTCTGGAGGCAGGCTGTTCCACTGATTAATTGTTCTCTCTGTCAGGAAATTCCTCCTTAGTTCTAAGTTGCTTCTCTCCTTGATTAGTTTCCATCCGTTGCTTCTTGTCCTGGAGAATAGCTTGACTCCCTCTTTTTTGGGGCAGCCCCTGAGTACTGGAAGACTGCTATCATGTCTCTCCTATTCCTTCTTTTCATCAAACTAGACATACCCAGTTCCTGCAACCGTTCTTCGTATGTTTTAGCCTCCAGTCCCCTAATCCTCTTGGCTGCTCTTCTCTGCACTCTTTCTAGAGTCTCGGTTTAGCTGCAGGCTCAGTGGTTGTCAAAGGGGCCACGAAGAAGAACTGTTCCCATGAAGTCCCCTCATGACTTGCCTCCAGTGGTTGTGGCTGCTCCGAGACCGGAGGTTTTTAAGGAGTTTGGACAACCATTTCTCTGAAATGGTATCGGGTTGGACTGGAAGACCTCCAGAGTTCCTTCCATCTCTGTCATGCACCGAGCAGGTAGAGCAGACAGAGGGACCCTCTTAGCCTAACTGACCTTAATCCAGAACTCCTCGTAGAGGGCGCAAGCGATGACGCAGCGCTCAAACAGCACGATGGTGCGCTCGTGCATACCGCTGGCGATCTCGAAGTCCAGGTAGTCCCGCCAGTTCCGCAGCTGCGCTCGCTCCAGGGGCTTCACGTGGAAGTAGGGTCTCTTGATCTAGGGGAAAGCGGGACAGGGCCACGATTATCACAGAGAAGCCCAGACAAGCCAGCACAACTAAAAGAATTAAGGTACAGGGAGTCCTCGACTTACGACCAGGATTGAGCCCAACATTTCCATTCCCAAGCAAGGTCATGGATTGAGTTTTGCTCCATTTTATGAGATAGTTCTTGCCAAAGTTCTTAAGGGAACCACTGCAGGTGTTAGGTTAGTTAACAGGGTTGTTTAAGTGAATCTGGCTTCCCCATTGACTTTGCTTGCCAGAAGGTTGCAAAAGGGGATGACGTGACCCTGGAACTGTCATAAATACGAGTCAGTTGCCAAGCGTCTGAATTCTGATCACGTGACCATGGGGATGCTACAATGGTTTTAAGTGGTTTTAAAACAGTCATAAGTCTCTTCTTTCAGTGCCATTGTGTTCTGCCCCAGCTACGGACCCCAAAGAACGCAGCACACACAGAGTCCGTACAAACCTTAGTTTACTAATGAAGGACTACTAATGGGCTTTCTTAGTAGTTGTTCGAACACAAGTACGGTTTAAATCAGTCTTTTCTGAACAAGGGCTGTTCATTTAACTTCATTAACAGCCGACAAGAATCCAAAGAATAACAACTCAATTCTGAGGCACAGTATTTCAGGTAACCATAATCTTACTGTGGTTGGCAGAATGCCCAGAAGCAATTTGCAGGAAAACTGACAAGAGATAAACAAAGAGCCAAATCAAACGTTTTCTGGAATCAAGACACGAAGGAATATGAACGAAGTTGTTTCCTGCAAATTGCATCAGTCGTTGTCGTCCTTCCTTAAGTAGGCTAGGGGAGTGGCCAATTAGCCCCAAGCCTTACTCTCGAGGAGACCTCCTCCTGAGGAGCCACTTCAGCCTTTTAACAGCTCTGCGTGCTCGTGCATCAAGAAGAGGCTCCTCCTCTTCACTTATGGGAGCTTCTGGAGCTTCTGAAGGCCCTGGCTGAGTCCCCGCCTCTGGCACCACAACTTCTCCAGCCTCCTCATTGTCCGACTCGAGCGCCAGCTGCACAGGCTGCTGGCACAGCGCCACACCAGCCTCCTCGCTGTCGGAATCAGCTACTAACTGCACAGGCCGCTGACGGGCCACAACACATTGTAATGTCGAACTGTCATTAAACATATGTTTACAATTGAAGCATTCTTACATACATCTGATTAAAGTTCAGGCACTTGGCAACCAGCAGGTGTTCACCATGCTTGCAGTGGGCTGAAATCACGTGATCGCCATTTGAGACCTTCCCAACCAGTTTCTTACAAGCAAAGTCAATAGGGGAAGCCGGATTCGCTTTAGGACTGTTGGGATTCACTTAACAACTGCAGCAAAGAGACGGCCGTGAAATCAGGCAAGGCTCACTGAATTTAGCCTTGCTTAGCGATAGAAATTCTGTTCCCAATTATGTTCATAGGTCGAGGACTATCAAACTATTGAACACTGTCAAACTATTGACTAAGTCTGCACTACTATTAATCTTCTCATCGTTCCCACCACCCATATCCTCCCACTGTTCTGCCCCAGCTTCGGATTCCCAAAGAATGTGACACACACCAAGCTTCGCAAACACTGTTTAATTCCAAACAAACCCCTTTTCAAGAATGCAGGCTTCCCGTGCAAAGGGTCCTTATCAAAGTTATTAAGAACAAAGTCCGACAAAGGTTGGCAACCAGCCCAGAAAACCAGATATGAGAAGTCGCTCGCTCTCCAAGATGCTCTGTAGTAATGAGACGTTGTTTCTAGCAAGAAAGCACTAGCTGCGTGTGACTTAAATAGGCTAAGGGAGTGGCCAATTATCCTCAAGCCCTACTCTCAAGTAGACCTCCTCCTCCTGAGTAGCCACTCCTGCCTTTTGGCAGCCCTGCGTGCCCGAGCATTGAGGAGAGGCTCCTCCACTTCGCTCTCTCCATTGGAAGGAGCCTCTGGAGGTTCTGAAGGCCCTGGCTGAGTCTCTGCCTCTGGCATCACATCCTCTTCGGCCTCCTCGCTGTACGACGCGAGCGCCGGCTACGCAGGCGGCTAGCGCGACACCACACCAGCCTCGTCGGGATCAGCCACGATCCGCGCAGGCCGCTGGTGGGCCACAACACCCACTTATGACTGTATGACTGTAACTTTGTTGCTTGTATCCTTACGATTTATATTGATATTGTTTCCTGATTGCTTATTTGTACCCTATGACTATAATTAAGTGTTGTACTTTATGATTCTTGACGAACGTATCTTTTCTTTTATGTACACTGAGAGCATATGCACCAAGACAATTTCCTTGTGTGTCCAATCACACTGGGCCAATACAAATTCTATTCTATTCTATTCTATTCTGTTCTGTTCTGTTCTGTTCTGTTCTGTTCTGTTCTGTTCTGTAGAGGTAAAATCGAGACGGGTAAGAGCACAAGATAAACTGTCAGACCTGCCCCAGCTAGGCCCCTCGGGAAGAAAGATCATCGACTCCATTTGGATGAAGCGATAGGTTCTTTTACTAAGGATTACTGGTTGCAGCAAAAGCAAGGCTAGATCTGAGTATTCCCGCCCAAAAGTTACAAGGTTTACACTTTCTGGAGCCCTCTCCCTTTGACCAGATTGTCAGTGTCCAATGGCTGTGTGATGTTTTGGGAACCACTTTGATGTGAAATGCGTCTCGGAGAGATTTGACATTCTTTCCCGGGCCGGGTGTCCTTGGGTGGCTGGATTATTCCGGTTTGACACCCCTGGTTCCCCTCTGTGCGTTTCCCTCCCCCCACTTGCATCCTTCTCTTTTCCTCCTGCACAATTTCCCCAAATTCCTCGGCTCCCTTCGTACCTACCCCATCTTCAAAATTCCAGCGCTTGCTGACTTCGCCTTCGTTCTGAGCGAAGATCTGCTGGCGGATCGAAATGGATTGCTCCAGGATTTTCTCCGGGTCCAGTGACGCCTGAAACGCAAGAAGAGCTGAAATCAGAGATATCGAAAGAACCCTCATGAAAAGAAGCGGGGAACCGGAATAGGATCTAAGCAATAGGATCCCATTGACGATTCTCTTTTATTGCATATTTCCTTTTTACTTATTTAGATCCCGCCTTTACAGGCAAGTCCTCGACTTACAACAGTTCATTTAGTGATGCTTTGATGTCCCAACGACTTACGACCATTTTTCACACTTATGACCATCACAGCATCCCCATGGTCACCTGATCAAAATTAAGACGCTTGGCAACTGGTTCCTATTTATAACGGTCGCAGTGTCCTTGGTGTGTGTGTGTGTGTGTGTGTCATACGATCCCATTTTGCGACCTTCTGACAAGCAAAGTCAACGAGGAAGCCGGATTCACTTAACAACCATGTTAATAACTTAACAAAGCCAGTGATTCGCTTAATATCTGTGCCAAGGAAAGTCATAAAATGGGGCAAAATTCACTTAACAAATGTCTCGCTTAGCAACAAAAATTTTGGGTTCAGTTGTGGTCGTAAATCAAGAACTACCTGTACTATTTTTTTTATAAACTCAAGGCAGCAAACATGTCTAATATTCCTCCCTCCTTCTATTTTCCCCATCCTGTGAGCTGGGTTGAGTTGAGAGGCACTAGCCCAAGGTCACCCATCCAGCTTTCATGTCTGAATTCTAGAACTCTCTGTCTCTGTCACCCCACTGGCCTTGTATCTAAAGCAGGATTAGAACTCACTATCTTCTGGTGATTGGCCCAAAATCACTGTTGGCTTTCATGGCTAAGGCAGTACTAGAACTCCCACCTCCTGGTTATTGGCCGTCACCCACCCAGCTTTCATATCTTAGTTGGGACTAGAACTCTCCGTCTCCTGGTGATTCTCCAAAGATTCCCCAGCTGGCTTTCATAGCTAAGGTGGTACTAGAGCTCCCAGTCTCCTGGTGATTGGCCCAAAATCACCCCACTGGCCTTGTATCTAAAGTGGGACTAGAATTCACCATCTTCTGGTGATTTGGCCCAAAATCACTGTTGGCTTTCATGGCTAAGGCAGTACTAGAACTCTCCACCTCCTGGTGATTCGTCCAAAATCACCCAGCCAACTTTCATGCCTAAAACAAAATTAGAACTCTCTGTTTCCCAGTTTCTAGCCTTAACCACTAGACCAAATTTCATTTTAGCACTTAACTCTGAATTCTTTTTTAACTTTTAACCCATACGATCTGGCCAAGAAACCTTACTAGCAGCATTCAAGGAACATGCTAGTCCCAAAGGTAAAGGTAAAGGATCCCCTCGCACATACGTGCTAGTTGTTCCTGACTCTAGGGGGCGGTGCTCACCTCCGTTTCAAAGCCGAAGAGCCAGCGCTGTCCAAAGACGTCTCCGTGGTCATGTGGCCGGCATGACTCAACGCCAAAGGCGCACGGAAAACGTTGTTCCCTTCCCACCAAAGGGGGTCCCTATTTTTCTACTTGCATTTTTTTTTACCTGCTTTCGAACTGCTAGGTTGGCAGAAGCTGGGACAAGTCACGGGAGCTCACCCCGTTATGCGGCGCCAGGGATGCGAACCGCTAAACTGCCGACCTTATGATTGACAAGCTCAGCGTCATAGTCACTGAGCCACCACGTCCCTTAGTCCCAAAGGCACGAGCCAAATTCAGGTTTTTTTTCATTGCCGTTTTAACTTCAAACAATTGCTAAATGAAAGGTTGTTTAATCAAGGATGACATGAACAGAAAGAGGTGAAATGCATAAATATGAGCCAGTTGCCAAGTATCTGAATTTTGATCACGTGACCATGGGGATACTGCAACGGTCATAACTGTGAAAAACGGTTATAAGTCACTTTTTTTCAATGCCATCGTAACATCGGTCACTGAGTGAAGGTTGCTAGATTTGGATATGTCTAGCCTAGAGAAAAGAAGGACTAGAGGGGACATGACAGCAGTATTACAGTATTTGAGGAGTTGCCACAGAGAAGAGGGGGTCAAATTATTCTCCAAAGCACCAGAAGGCAGGAGAAGAAACAATGGATGGAAATTAATTAAAGAGAGAAGCAACCTGGGATTGGAATTGCAGTGAGGACAATTAACCAGTGGAACAGCTTGCCACCAGAAATTGTGGGTGCTCCATCACTGGAGGCTATTTTTTATCAGGTTTGCCTGATTCGCCAGTTGCGTCCCTTTCTGGATCGGGACTCGTTATGTACGGTCACTCATGCCCTCGTCACTTCCCGCCTGGACTACTGCAATGCTCTCTACATGGGGCTCCCCTCGAGGAGCACCCGGAGGCTCCAGCTGGTCCAGAATGCGGCCGCGCGGGTGGTTATGGGAGCGACGTGGCGCTCCCATGTGACCCCCCTCCTGCGCGAGCTGCACTGGCTCCCGGTGGTCTTCCGGGTACGTTTCAAGGTTTTGGTTACCACCTTTAGAGCGCTCCATGGCTTAGGACCTGGGTACCTACGAGACCGCCTTCTGCCACCAGTAGCCTCCCACCGACCAGTACGCTCCCATAGAGAGGGGCTCCTCAGGGTGCCGTCGGTCAAACAATGTCAACTGGCGGCCCCCAGGGAGAGAGCCTTCTCTGTGGGGGCACCTGCCATCTGGAACGAGCTCCCCCCAGAGATACGGAGGATCCCGGATCTGCGCACTTTCCGCCGTGCCCTCAAAACATTTTTATTCCAGCAGGCTGGCCTGGCCTAACTTCCCTTTTAAATTGCTTTTTAAATTTGTCTTATAAATTGGGGTGTTTTAAATTTGTTTTGGGCCAAAGTATTTAATGTATTTTAAATGGTTTTTTAATGTTTGTACTATGTGTATTTTATCTTTTGGCTGTTCACCGCCCTGAGTCCTTTGAGAGTAGGGCGGTATATAAATTTAATAAATAATAATAATAATAAAAAGAAGAGACCGGACAGCCACCTGTCTGAAATGGTGCAGGGTCTCCTGCTTGAGCAGGGGGCTAGACTAGATGACCTCTAAGGTCCCTTGCAGCTCTCTTCTGATTGATTGATTGATTGATTGATTGACTTGACTACCTGTATTCTGATGGCTTTGTGATTTCTGCTACAGCCTACCCCACTACCTCTAGATACGGATTAGTTCAGGGAGGACAAACAGGGAAGACCCCATCCTAAATTGGGATACTGGAAAGAGACGACACGAAGGGACCCAAGCCAAGACATGGACTCACCAACGCCTGACTCCCTTCTGCGGCCTCCTGCTTGCTTTCCGCCTTGGGGGGCAGTTCTTCCCCAGGTGGTGCTTCCTCCTCGGTTTCCCCCTCCGTCGTCTTGGGGGCCGCATCGGAGGCCAACTTGGACTGCATCCACAGCAGCTCTTCCATGGAGAGAATGTCCACAGGCGGATGGCTGGACAGGTGTTCCTTGAAGCTGCGTTGAGAAGAAAGGAGGGCTTTACAGAAAGCGGCTGCAGGGAGTCCTCGACTTACAACAGTTCATTTAGCGACAAAGTTACAACGGCACTGAAAAAAAGCGAGGACCGTTTTTCACACTTGTGACCGTTGCAGCATCCCCGTGACCAAATCTCTATACAGATTCTGAGTCATCCTTCGCTTTTCCGAGAGGCATGGCTAGTGGTCATGTGACTGGGCGGGCGTGGCCAATTTAACAGTCCATTTTTTTAAGCGAATTAAGCGAATCACGTGGCCATTAAGCAAATCTTAGCTTCGCCCTTTGATTTTCTGTTAGAAGCTGGCTGGGAAGGATACAAATGCTGGTCATGTGACTGCTGGTATATCTACAATGATTCATGATCAGGCTGGGCGTGAAGGAGGGGTCAAACGCGTCATCGGACTCGAGTCTCTTTGCACTCAAAAGGGATCTAAATCCGAACCTTCTTGAATTGCATTGACTCGTCTACTGCCAACTGGCTGTGACTTTTGTTGAGAGCAACAGCAATAGCATTTAGCCTTACATACCGCTTCACAGTGCTTTTACAGCCCTCTCTAAGCGGTTTACAGAGTCAGCCTCTTGTCCCCTCCAGCAATCTGGGTCCTCATTTAACCGACCTCAGAAAGACGGAAGGCTGAGTCAACCTTGAGCTGGTCAGGATTGAACTGCTGGCAGTCGGCTGAATTAGCCTGCAATACCTCCGAGACCGTCTTCTGCCACCAATAGCCTCCCACCGACCAGTCCGTTCCCACAGAGAGGGTCTCCTCAGGGTGCCATCAGCCAAGTTATGTCAGCTGGCGACACCCAGGGGGAGGGCCTTCTCTGTGGGAGCCCCAGCCCTGTGGAACGAACTGCCCCCCGAAATTCGTAAGATCTCCGACCTCCGGGTGTTTCGCTGCGCATTGAAGACCCTGTTGTTCCACCAGGCCGGACTATCAACACAAGAGTTTTAAATTTTTTGGGGTTTTAAATCTGAACCAATTTATTTAATTATTTAAAATTTTATATTGTTGTTTTGTCTGTGTTTTTAAATAGGCTGTACACTGCCCCGAGTCCTTCGGGAGAAGGGCGGTATAGAAATAAAATTATTATTATTATTATTATTATTATTATTATTATTATTATTAATAATAATAATAATAATAATAATAATAATAATAATACTGCATTCTCACCACTATGCCACCACGGACGGACGTAAGGAAGGAAGGAAGGAAGGAGAAAGAGGAAGGAAGGAAGGTAGTAATAGCACTTAGATTTATATACTGCTTCATCATGCTTTACAGCCCTCTCTAAGCAGTTTACAGAGTCAGCCTCTGGCCCCCAACAATCTAGGTCCTCATTTTACCCACCTCGGAAGGACGGAAGGGTGAGTCAACCATGAGCTGTTCAGGATTGAACTGCTGGCAGTTGGCTGAATTAGCCTGCAATACTGCGTTTTCACCACTATGCCACCACAGAAGGAAGGAAGGAAGGAAGGAAGGAAGGAAGGAAGGAAGGAAGGCAGGAAGGAAGGAAGGAAAGAGGGAGGGAGGGAGGGAGAATAGGAAGGAAGGAAGGAAGATAGCAATAACATTTAGACTTATATACCGCTTCACAGTGCTTTACAGCCCTCTCTAAACTGTTTACAGAGCCAGCCTCTTGCCCCCAACAATCGGGGTCCTTATTTTACCAACCTGGGAAGGACAGAAGGCTGAGTCAACCAAGATCAAACTGCTGGCAGTCGGCAGAATTAGCCTGCAATACTGCATTCTAACCACTGCGCCACCATGGCACGTAAGAAACAACATGGAACAAACTTGTACTCATTTGAACAACCTGGATTTCTTCCTGATTTCTTGTGACAAGTGCCAAGCGTCCAGATTTTGATCCTATGAATGTGGAGAAATTGCAACAATCGTATGTGTAAGACCCTGTTGTTAAGTCAGCTTTTTCAGTGTTGTTGTAACTTTGAACTGTCACTGATTGAATGTTGTAAGTCTACCTGTAATTCACAATGCCTCTGCCCCCCCAAATCAAACACCCTCCAAATCACACACTTACTTTTCCCAGTGATGGCTGTACAGCTGGGTGGGAGTGGACAGCACCCTGTCATAAATGCCAGTGACGGCCCTCAGGTCTCCCTGCTCCTTCTGCCATTCCACATACATCTCCCAGAGCTTGTCCGAACGGAAATCGACTCCCGCGGCAGCCACGGCGGCCTCAAAAGTGCTGCAGAGAAGACAGAGAATATTAACAGCTTCAATAGCTTGTTCCACTTTATAATGCCTTGATAAGGCCACATTCAGGAAGTTGTGTCCAGCTTTGGTTACCACAACATAAAAAAGATGTTGAGACTCTAGAAAGAGTGCAGAGAAGAGCCACAAAGATGATTAGGGGACTGGAGACTAAAACATACAAAGAATGGTTGTGGGAATTGGGTATGGCTAGTCTAGAGAAAAGAAGGACTATCAACTCGCAAAGCAAGGGGGATGGGAAAACCGGCGAAGCAGCACGGCAGCCAAAAACAAAAGCACATTCCAGACATATCTCTCTCAAGGCTGTCTCCCAGGGTTACCCACAGCAGCTGGAGGGGAGTTATCTCTATAATCCATGAAATTGCTCCATTGCCAAATGTGATTAATGATACACCCTGGGGGGGGGGGGGGAAACAGGGGGTGTAAATTACGTGGGGTCAGAGTTGGCTTCATTTGGAACCTGCCGACATGAAACTCCTAATAAATAACTGGATTTCTTGTGAAGCTTGGCTTGAGGCTCATGATTTAATTAGGGCATCCATGCGAACCCTGACAAGGACTAGGCGTGACATGACAGCAGTCTTCCAATATTTGAGGGGCTGCCACAAAGAAGAAGGGGATCAACTTATTTTTCCAAAGCACCAGAAGGCAGGACAAGAAGCAACGGATGAAAACTAATCAAGGAGAGAAGCAACCTAGAGTTGAGGAGAAATTTCCTAACAGTGAGAAAATTAACCCATGGAACAGCTTGCCACCAGAAGTTACTGTAACTGGGAGTGTTTAAAAAGAGATTGGACAACCATTTGTCTGAAATGGTATAGACCAGGGTTTCCTTCCTTAGCAGGGGGTTGGACTAGAAGACCTCCATGGTCCCTTCCAACTCTGTTATTCTGTTAAATAGACCCACAACAGAACCTTACAGGTCCTGAAAGCTGGCTGGATGACTTTGGGCCGATCACCAGGGGAGCGTGAGTTCTAGTCCTGCCTTAGGCAAGAAAGTTGGCTGAGGGTCTTTGGGCCAGTCCTCCTCTCTCAGCCCAACCCACCTCACAGGGTTGTTTTTGTTGGGGCAAATAGGAGCAATAAGGCACATTAGATATATTCACTGGCTTGAATTATTTATAAAGTTATAAAGGCAGGATAAAAATATAATAAATAAATATTTGGGGATGCTCAATTTGGGAGGGGGCATTAAAAACCCTTGGCCTCAGGACTGGTTGGGACACCATGGGGTGGGGAGGGGATTCCTGTCCCTTCTAGAGCTGCGTATATAGTCCACAACATACCACCACCATTGATTCCAAAACTTCTGTTGCTAAGTGAGACATTCGTTAAGTGAGTTTTGGCCCCATTTTACAACTTTTCTTGCCACAGCATGTTAAGTGAATCACTTCAGTCGTTAAGTTAGTGACATGGTTGTTAAGTGAATCCGACTTTGCTGGTCAGAAGGTCCTAAAACAAGATCTTGGGAAACAGCCAAGCTGTTCGTAAATAGGAGCCAGTTGCCAGGACCCAGAATTTTGACCATGTGGCCATGGGGATACTTCAACAGTCGTGCGAAAAATGGTCACAAGTCACTTTTTTCCAGTGCCGTTGCAACTTCAAACGGTCGCGAAATGAACTGTTGTAAATCGAGGACTACCTGTGTTTTTAACAGGATGGGATTGAGCCTGTCTTTATTTTCCTCTTCTGTTGGCTAAAATGGCAGGAGGGTGACTCCCAGGGGTGAAATCCAGCAGGTTCTGACAGGTTCTGGAGAACCAGTAGCGGAAACTTTGAGCAATTCGGAGAACTGGCAAATGCCACCTCTGGCTGGCCCCAGAGTGGGGTGGGAATGGGTATTTTGCAGTACTCTTCCCCCAGGAATGGGGATTTCGTAGTATCCTTCCCCTGGAGTGGGGAGGGAATGGGGATTTTGCAATATCCTTCCCCCAGGAGTGGGATTTCGTAGTATCCTTCCCTGGAGTGGGATGGGAATGGGGATTTTGCAGTACTCTTCCTCCAGGAATGGGGATTTCGTAGTATCCTTCCCCTGGTGTGGGAGGGAATGGGGATTTTGCAATATCCTTCCCCCAGGAGTGGGGATTTCGTAGTATCCTTCCCCTGGAGTGGGATGGGAATGGGGATTTTGCAGTATCCTTCCCCCAGGAATGGGGACTTCGTAGTATCCTTCCCCTGGAGTGGGGAGGGAATGAAGATTTTGCAATATCCTTCCCCCAGGAGTGGGGAGGGAATGGGGATTTTGCAGTATCCTTCCCCCAGGAGTGGGGAAGGAATGGGGATTTTGCAGTATCCTTCCCTTGCCACATTCACCAAGCCACACCCACCAAGCCACGCCCACAGAACCGGTAGTAAAAAAATTGGATTTCACCACTAGTGACCCGTTTAAACTTGGTATAGACGCAAAGAGTGACGGTGGATTTTCAAAGCACCCCTTCCCCCCCCAGCTGACTGTACCTGGATGTGGAAGTAAGCAATGCCGGGCCTGGTTAGTTTCTGGATGGGAGACCAACTGACAATCTCAAGAGGTTTGAGAGGGAGCCGTCCACAAAGTTAACAGGAGCTGAGCTTATCCCAAAACCTGTTTTCTGTTTTCACGTTCTCCTGTATTCAAAGCAGCAACTATCTCTAACAGGCCTGAGGGGCAGAAGTGACTTTTGAAGGGGAAAAAAAACAACAAAAGGAAGATTCCAGGCCCCGGGCAACTCCTTGCCGCTCCTCCTTGTCCTGCGACCTACCCACAAATTTTCTGAGCTGAATCGGGTTGGTTCATATCCAAGGTGGACTGCAGGAAAGTGATGTAGTGGATCCAGAGGTCCATGCTGAGAGGGATGGACTGCAACCCTCGCTGGAAAACCTGCAGGGGGCAGCAGAGAAAATAAAACACTTAAGGGGGTCTTTCTCCATCCCCTCCTCCACTCGTGCAAAGGGGACTTTCTGAGAACTAAGGGTTTTTTTCACGCTAACCTTTCAGATCCCCACATTTGCTCTACAACACAGCAGGGGCCAATAGGAGAAGAGAAGCAGATGCTACCGGACCGAGTAGGGCAGTGATGGCTAACCCTTTTCGGTCTGCCAAAAGTGTGCATGTGTGCGCATGACAGTGCACCAGTGGTGGGTTCCTCCCGGTTCGGTCCGGTTCGGCCGAGCCGGTAGCGGTGACGATATGACGTCACCGAACCGGTTCTCCCCCCCCGCCCCCCCACCCACGTTATTCTTACCTTTTATTTGGTCCCACCCCCAATCTATTGCTGCCTCCTGAGTCCCAGCTGATGACTAGAGGGGAAAAAACTGTTTAAACTCTTGCCGCAGGGCTTCAAAGGGCCGCCCTACAGCTGATCAGTGTTAAAAGCAAACAAATGAGTCGGGTCGTAAGTGCGAGGACCTTCCAGAAATGACTCTGACCAGCTAGCCACGCCCACCTAGTTACATGACCTCCAAGCCACACCCACAAAATAAGCCACGCCCACAGAACCGCCAGTAAAAAAATTTAGAACCCACCCCTGCAGTGCACCAATAATGCAAAGTGCGCCCCCCCCCGCACATGACCCCCTCCCATACTCCCCCGCGTATACACGCACGAGAGTTGATATTCAAAAATTTTAGCAGCCGGTTCTCTGCCTGGTTGCTGGGTGGGCGTGGCCTACTCGGCCTCCTGCACCATGGGGTGAGGGAAACGCATGTTTTCGCTCTCCCCAGGCTATGGTGAAATCGGCCTCCCCCGGGCTCTGGAGGCCTTCCGGAGGCCGAAAACAGGCCCATTTCCGGACTTCCGAAAGGCCCGTTTTTCGCCCTCCCAGAGCCTCCACGCGGTCCCTGCACTTACCTGGCATCCAAAACAGGCCGTGTGGAGACTCCTGGGAGGGGGAGGGGGAGCAGGGCCAGCCAGTCCTTGCAAACAGCCGGTTCGGCGAACCAGATGTAAAATAGGAGCTCTGGTGGCTCAGCAGACTAAAGCCCTGTTATTAACATCCACTTACATCTGCTGCCTGCAATTACTGCAAGTTCAAATCTCACCAGGCTCAAGGTCGACTCAGCCTTCCATCCTTTCTAAGGTAGGCAAAATGAGGACCCAGATTGTGGGGGCAATAAGCTGACTTTGTATAAATATACAAAAGGATGAAGGCTATTGCTTAGCGCATTGTAAGCCGCCCTGAGTCTCCGGAGAAGGGCGGCATATAAATCAAATTTTAAAAAAAATAATAAAAAAAAAAATAGCATACGATTCATCCGAACCGGCTGAATACTCAGTAGGGCGATACTAAATCATCATCATCATCAACAACAACAACAAAAGGCAAGCTTCTGAATTTTCCAGAACTCTGCTTCAGGCAGTTATAAATGACCCATGGATTGAGCATGGTGAGCATCCACAAGGGAAAAAAACGAAATGTTATTCCCTAGCTTTGGAATTATCTCTATCCATAGGATCTGTTTCCCACAACGGCCACGCCCACGGGCACCTCGGCTTAATTACTATGGCTCTACTCCAGAGCAGTCTTTCACAACCTAAGATGGGTGGACTTCAGCTTCCAGTTTTTCCCCAGCCAGTTATTTCTGGCTGGGAATTCTGGGAGTTGGGAGTCGAGCCATCTTAAAGCATACTGGCTGGGGAATTCTGGGAGTTGAAGTCCTCCCGTCTTAAAGCATGCTGGCTGGGGAATTCTGGGAATAGAAGCCCATCCACCTTAAAGCGTGCTAGCTGGGGAATTCTGGGAGTTGAAATCCCACCCATCTTAAAGATGTTAAAGTTCATAAAGATTTGCCCAAAGATACAGTGGGTAATTTCATTTCACATTCAAACCTGCTGATGCATATGCTAAGAAAAGACCCGTGTATCCAAGCACACCCTTTAAAATAGGCTCAGCTTTTGATTGATCTTTCAAAATCTGGAAGTGGCTTGTTTCACTGAGTCTCTGCCCCCCCCCCCAGTTCTAATACATGGCATGCTGCCGCTTGTCCCTGGTGGGTCAGGACAGGGATGCGCGGCGCACAATCTCCACTGTTCCTAGGTACCTCCTCGGTCTCCTTGATGAAGTCAAAGCGTCGTTCCATGTCTGCGTACTTCTTCCAGTAGCCGTAGCAGTAAGGGTACCGCAGGAAGAAGTTATCGAAAGCTTTGCGGGCGGCGTAGATGTGATTCTGCAACAGCAGCCAAGAGAAAAAGCTTGGATGGTTTTGAGAAAATACAAAACAATGCAAAGACAGCACGGGAAAGTAAAGATCAGAAGCCAAAATGTGGACTCAGGAAAGCCAGTTGTGGTTTATTTTATACACGTGAATTAAGCAAACTGTGGTTTGGCATTACTGGCAGTCCTTGCTTAACAAGAGCCTTGGAAGTACAGTGGTCTAAGCACCCTGTTATTAAGACCAGCTGCCTGCAATTACTGCAGGTTCGAATCTCTCCAAGGCTCAAGGTTGACTCAGCCTTCCATCCTTTCTAAGGTAGGTGAAATGAGGACCCAGTTTGTGGGGGCAATAAGCTGACTTTGTATAAATATATAAAAGTATGAAGGCTATTGCTGAGCACATTGTAAGCCGCCCTGAGTCTCCGGAGAAGGGCGGCATATAAATCAAATTAAAAAAAAGCAAAAAAAGCTAATTGGGACCATTTAAGTGTTGTGGCCCTAAGTGGAGAAACCACATCAATGCCTCACTTAGTAGTGGCACTGCCAGCAGTCCCTGCTGCATTCGTAATTTATCACTTCCTGCTGGCCTGCCCACTGGCTTTGCGGGACGCTGCCAGGGAATGTCACTCACTAATCGGGATCACATGACTGTAGAGCCAGTCGTAAGTATGGTGTCTGATCGTAACTCCCTTGTTCGACGCTTGTCAGGCCCAAGCACAAAGATGACACAGTGAAATCCAATTGAGTCAAATCCTTCATTTGCTTAACCTGATGGGCAGAATCTCACCAGATTAAAGGTATAACTTCTAACCCGTTAGATGGGTCCTAAGAGATTCTAGGATGTGGCTACCTTGAAACCCCCTCCCCTATACGGAATAACAGAGTTGAAAAGGACCTTGGAGGTCCTCTGGTACAACTCCATCCTCAAGCAGGAGACCAGGCCAGGGGTCGACAACTGGTGGTCTGTGAGAAAATTTTGGTGGTCCGCAGAAATATTATTTTCATTTTTTATATTGCACTAAATCAGGAGTCCTCAAACAACGGCCCCTGGGACAGATACATGCAATGAACGTTTGTGCTGCAGGGATCCCCCCTGCGGGGTCTTTTTGTGCAGGTCAGAGGGCGGCAGAAATTCCGACTTGGGGTCTGCTTCGGCCTCCTGGTGGGGGGCTTTGGGCGAAGGCTGGAGGGAAGAGCCGCTGGTGGTGAAGAGCCGGAGGGCCTCGTTCAAGTGGGACTGCCTCATGGCCTGGCACTGGCTGACCATCTCAGCCGGCTGAGCCTCCAGGTGCCGGTACCTGGCTTGCACTCCCGCAGGTCCTCCCTCTGCTTGGAAAGCCTATGCTCCTAGTCCTCAGTGAGGTGCTTCTGCTGAGCGTCCATCTCGGCCAGATCCAATTTGAACTGAGCGTGTTTTGCCAACTTTTTCTCGTGGGGGCTGCTTAGCTCCAACTCCAGCTTCCTGTTGGGGCCCTAAGGAGCCCAGGAGGACAGGCGAGGAGGGGCTGGGAGGGGAAGGGCAAGTAGAGCAAGAGAGGCATCCCTTGTCGTGAGTGACATTGAGTTGGCCACACCAACCCAGTCACATGATATTAGTGGTCCACAGGATTTAAAATTATGAATTTAGTGATCCCTGAGGTCCAAATGGTCGGTGACCCCTGCCCTAGACCAGTCCAGACAAGTGGCTGTCCAATCTCCTCTTAAAAACCTTCAAATGATGGAGCACCCACAACTTCTGGAGGCAAGTTAATTGTTCTCATAGTCAGGAAATTCCTCCTTCTGTTCTAGGTTGCTCCTCTCCTTGATTAGTTTCTATCCGTTGCTTCTGGTGCTTTGGAGAATAGGTGGTACCTCTTCTCTGTGAGAGCACCTCAGATATTGGAAGTTTATCAGGTCCCCCCCTAGTCTAGTCTTCTTTTCCCTAGTCTAGACATATCCAATTCCTGCAACCATTTTTCATATGTCTAAGCCTCCAGCCCCTAATTGTCTTTCTTGCTCTTCTCTGCAACTTCATGCTTAGAATTCTTTTATTTTGGGCTTCTCTTTGGAATGTACTGTCTCCTCCCTGGGAAGCTGCAGTGCGATTGTCAACATACCACTTGATAGTACAGTGGTCTAAGCACCCTGTTATTAACACAGCTGCCTGCAATTTACTGCTGGTTCGAATCTCTCCAAGGCTCAAGGTTGACTCAGCCTTCCAACCTTTCTAAGGTAGGTGAAATGAGGACCCGGATTGTGGGGGCAATAAGCTGACTTTGTATAAATATACAAAAAGTATGAAGGCTATTGCTTAATGCACTGTAAGCCGCCCTGAGTCTCCGGAGAAGGGCGGCATATAAATTAAAGCAAAAAAAACATTCTCCCCCACCTCCACATCTTCTCCAGCCTCCCATTCTGTTACACAATTTGACCTGGTGCAGTCATCAACTAAGCCAGGGTTATCTTGCACCATGGTTGACAGAATATACTAAACCATGGCTGGGCTGATGCATCTTGCTAAGCCCCACCGATCAGTTCATAGTTGTCCCATAGTTGCTTTTTTTAAAGAGGCAACTGAGCTTTCTTGTTTTTTCTTTGAAGACGTTTCGCTTTCCTCCAAGAAGCTTCTTCAGCTCTGGCTGGACGGTGGGGAATGGAAGGATTTCTACCCCTTGCAGACAGCTGGTCCTTTGCATTCTGTTTAGAGGGTCGTTGAGGCCACTTGGAGGTTTATCTGTGTCCTCAGATAAATCTGTGTCCTCAGATAATGGGTTCTTCCACACCCATTTGCACCACTCAGGTGACCCTGAAGACACGGAGAAACCTCTAAGTGGCCTCAACGACCCTCTAAAACAGGCATCCTCAAACTATGCCCCACAGGCCGGATACGACCCGCCAATGCAAAATATCCGGCCCGCAGAGTGGTGTGATTAAGCCCTGCCCCTTCCCATGGGCCTTCTCTTCCAGCGAGCCAGCTGGAAGGCCAGCTGAGGGGTGATCTCGCCGGTGCAGCCTTGAAAAGCAGTTCTGGGTTTGTAAAGTACGGCTTTAAATTAAAAGTCTTTGAAAAAAATTTTTAAACAGGAGCTTAGGAAGGAGAAAGGCAAAAGAATGGACTGTTCAATTAGGTGACCCTCCAGATCCACTTCAAAGTGCTGGTATTGACTTATAAAGCCTTACATGGCTTAGGTCCGGGGTATTTGCAGGACCATCTCCTGCCTGCTTCCCACCGTCCTGTCCGCTCCCATAGGGTTGCTCTCCTCAGGGTACCGTCGACCAGGCAATGCTGTCTGGTGACACCCAGGGGTAGGCCATTCTCCTGGGCGCCCCTACCCTCTGGAACGAACTACCCACCGAGCTCCAGACGTCCCCGGATCTCCGTTCTTTCCGTCGAGGCCTGAAGACTTGGCTATTCCAACGAATGGGCTGATTCTGATTCTTGGGTTTTATTTATTTTATTATTTGTTATTATTGATTTTAATCAGGTTTTAGCAGGATTTTATTATGGTATGTTTTTTAATCTGTGTTCGCTGCCCTGAGTCCCTTGGGAGAAGGGCGGCATATAAATACTTGTAAATAAATAAATAAATAAATAAATACATAAATAACTAAATACATAAATAAATAATACATAAATAAATAAATAGGCCATGCCCATCCAGTCACATGACCACCTAGCCACGCCCACCTGCCCACCCAGTCTGGGGGCCCCCAACAGTCTGAGGGACTGTGAATCGGCCCCGTTTAAAAAGTTTGAGGACCCCGGCTCTAAAAGGATGCAAAGGACCAGCTGTCTGCAAGGAGTATCAATCCTTTCATTCCATTCCCCACCATCCAGTTAGAGCTGAAGAAGCTTCTGGGATGAGAAGCGAAACGTCTTCAAAGAAAAACCAGAAAGTTCAGCTGCCTCTTTAAAAAAAAAAAAAAGCACCTTTGGGACAACTGTGACCTGGATGATGACGGAGAATCTCCATAGACAATCAGTTCAGAGCTTTGGGCTCTTCGGTTCCTTCATACCTCCTGTTCCACGTATTGCAACAATTCGGTCCATGCGGTGAAGTCCAGGGGGTTCTCTTGAGTGGCTCTCCAGTAGCGCTCAAACTCCAGAGGGTAGGTGATAGAGAGATCCTCCATGGGCTGGCTCAAGGACATCATCATCCCCACATCTGAAGCAGGAGGCTGAGGGGTCTCCTCTCTGGCTGGCTCGGCCTGCAGGGCTGCCGTGTTGTCTTCCAGGCTATCCCCATTGATCTCTTGCACCGGCATGGCCTCGTCTGGCTTGGGAGGCCCATTACTCTCCTGATTCAGAAGCCCCTCTTCATCAATGCCTGCAGATTCAGGAAGAAATTATAAATTTCCCAGTATTAATTTTCATTTACTTGTTGATTTGTTCTGCATCCTAGGGCTTCCTCCCGAGTTTATTTATTTATTTATTTTATTTCTATACCGCCTTTCTCCCGTAGGACTCAAGGCGGTGTACCGTCAAGAAAAATATAGATGCACAAACATCATAAAATTGCTAATTAAAATTATTATTATAACATAGTTTGGCCCAATTAAATAAAACCTAAAATTAGATAACATTTTAAAAACATTCACATGTTCATATGTTTAGCCCCGCTTGTTGGAACATCAGGGTTTTGAGGGCACGGCGGAAAGCACGGAGATCAGGGATATTCCGTATCTCCGGGGGCAGTTCATTCCAAAGGGTTGGAGCCCCCACAGAGAAGGCCCTCCCCCTGGGAGTCGCCAGTCGACATAATTTGACTGACGGTACCCTGAGTAGTCCCTCCCTGTGAGAACGAACTGGTCGGTGGGAGGCTATTGGTGGCAAAAGACGGTCTCGTAGGTACCCAGGTCCTAAGCCATGGAGCGCTTTAAAGGTGATAACTAACACCTTGAATCGCACCCGGAAGACCACCGGGAGCCAGTGCAGCTCGCGTAGGAGAGGTGTTACATGGGCGTAACGAGGTGCGCCCATAATCACCCGCGCGGCTACGTTCTGGACCAGTTGGAGCCTCCGGGTGCTTTTCAAGGGGAGCCCCATGTAGAGAACATTACAGTAGTCCATACGGGAGGTAACTAGGGCATGAGTGACTGTGCGCAAGGCGTCCCGATCCAGAAAGGGACGCAACTGGCGGATCAGGCGAACCTGATAAAAGGCACCCCTGGCCACGGCCGTCAAATGATTTTCTAAAGATAGCCGTGAATCCAGGAGGACACCCAAGTTGCGGGCCTTCTCTGTGGGGAGCAAGATCTCATCCCCTATTGTCAGTGATAACTGAGTTGAGGATAACTTCCTGTAGAAATACAGGTAGTCCTCCATTTAGGACCACAATGGAGCCCAGAATTTATGTTGCTAAGTGAGAAATTTGTTAAGTGAGTTTTGCCCCATTTTATGACTTTTCTTGCCACGTTTATTTTTTTATTTTAATTTGATTTATATGCCGCCCTTCTCCGGAGACTCAGGGCGGCTTACAATGCGTTAAGCAATAGCCTTCATACTTTTGTATATTTTTATACAAAGTCAGTTTATTGCCCCACAAACTGGGTCCTCATTTTCACCTACCTTAGAAAGGATGGAAGGCTGAGTCGACCTTGAGCCTTGAGAGATTCGAACAGCAGTAATTGCAGGCAGCTGTGTTAATAACAGGGTGCTTAGACCACTGTACTATCAAGGCTGAATTAAGCGAATTATTAAGCGAATCACTGCATATTAAATTAGTAACACCATTGTTAAGTGAATCGGGCTGGTCAGGAGGTCGCAAAATGCAACCACGTGACCCCGGCATACTGCAACACGTCATAAACGTGAGATAGCTGTCAAGCCTTCAAATGCTGGAGAATCCACTGCTGACAATAAGTTATGTGACACGGGGTGTTGCAACAGTCATAAGTGTGAAAAATGGTCATAAATAAAGCCATGGTGGTGCAGTGGTTAAAATGCATTCCTGCAGGCTACTTCTGCTGACAGTCGGTTGCCACTAGTTTGGCAGTTCGAATCTCGCCAGGCTCAAGGTTGAGTGATTCAGCCTTTTATCCTTCTGAGGTGAGTAAAATGAGGACCCAATTTTTTGGGGGAAATGCTGACTGTGTAAAACCGCTTAGAGAGGGCTGTAAAAGCACTGTGAAGCGGTAGATAAGTCTTAAGTGCTATTGCTACTGTCCTTCCTTCCATCCATTCATTTCCTTCCTTCCTTCCATGCATCCATCCTTCCTGTTTCCTTCCTTCCTTTTCATTTCCTTCCTTCCTCCCTCCCTCCTTCCATCCATCCATCCTTCCTTTTCATTTCCTTCCTTCCTTCCCTTCCCTCCCTCCCTCCCATTACAATGCAGGATTGCAGGCTAAACTCTGTCCACTGCCAGCAGTTCAAACCTAACTAGCTCAAGGTCGACTCAGTCTTCATCCTTCCGAAGTGGATAAAATGAGGATCCAAATTGTGTTGGGGGGGGGGGGCAAGAGGCTGACTCTGTAAAACTGCTTAGAGGGCTGTAAAAGCACCGTGAAGCGGTATATAAGTCTAAGTGCCATTGCTATTTTCAATGCCGTTGTAACTTCTTCAAACAGTCAGTGAGCGAAACCATTGTAAGTCGACAGTTTTAACTTCTTAACGTACGACCACAGCAGAGTCCAGAACATGGTTGTAAGTTATGGGGGAGAGAGAGAAAGAGGCGATCACCTCGCTTAACGACCACCTTCCCGTCATTGTGACTGCACAGATTTTTTTTCGTAAAAAGTTTTTTTTTATTTTTTAAATACAAAGATAAAACATTCCATCTTTCCTCATGCGGTGTATCGTCTGGGCAGTACAAACATCTCTGTGCTACATCGATCCTCATTTATCAAAATCTTTCACATTCACGTTAACATTAACATTATTGAACATTTAAATACTGTAAAACTCTCCATTTTCTTCTTAGCATTCTTTTAGTAATACTACCATATTGACACCAAATATCATTATTCCCTTCCTACACATACTAAAAAACAATTTTCATCTTATTGGTATCTCTATCTTGATGTATTTTCTACTTTTTTAAAAATAAATAAATAAGTGACTGTACAGATTGTTAAAATGTATTCATTTTATGTATATTCAATTCATGCTTATACATATTATCTAATATGTACTCGACAAAATAAAAAAAAATAAAAATAATAGAAAGCCACCTCTCCTATTTCTGATGCTTCACAAAGAACCACATCCAATATCTAATCTAATAAAAATCTAATAAAACAAAACAAAACAATATGTAAATTTTTTTGCCTCTTTAATTTGCATGGCTCCTCCCACCACCCCTCATTTGCATGAAACCCCTCTCCTCTCCCCCCTCCCCCACACGACAACCTAAATTGGCAGCTGGAGCCATTGCAAAGGCCGGGATCCGTTGAGAAGAGAGCCTCCCTGTCCAGGAGCAGTCTACCGTGCACCGAAGTTCGGGAAGTTCTGATTTTCCCGCTAAAACTGGAGTCGGATCCGGGCCCTCCAACCTCCCTGGGGACCACCCACCCCCATCTGCCCCCCCCATCCTTCCCTCGGTATCCCGGCAACGGCGCCCCCCCCTCCATCCGGAGACTCCTGTTTTTCCACCCGCCCGGGTGTCCCCCCCCTCACCGGCTTCCGCCCCCGGGAGCTCTTCGACGCTTTCCGCCTCGCCGTGGCCGAGGGCGGCCGGCGCCTCCTCCGCTTCCTCCGCCATCTTCGCCGCAGCCGCCCGAGCGCGCCGTCTCCCTCACGGATCCTCGTCGTGGGAATCCGGCGAGGCCGCAGTGCGCCTGCGCGGCCGTGATGACCCGGAAATTGCCGGGCAGGAAAGATTTCCTCCTGGCGAATGGGCGGGAAGCTTAGGGCAGCTCCCATAGAGAAGAAATGGGTAGAGAGGTAGGTTTTCTGAAGGGGCAACTATAGACAAGGATGCAAGAGCGGTCGCTCTCTTGATAGATAGATAGATAGATAGATAGATAGATAGATAGATAGATAGATAGATAGATAGATAGATTAGATAGATTAGATAGATTTAGTTTAGTTTATTTTAGTTTAGTTTAGTTTAGTTTAGTTTAGTTGTATTTGACTAAATACAAAACTAAATAAAAAACTAAACTAGTAACTAAACTAAACAAATAGATAGATAGATAGATTAGATGGAGATATAGATAGATAGATGGAGGATATATATAGATTAGAGATAGAGATAGATAAATAATATATAGATAGATATAGATTACATATAGATATAGATTAGATGTAGATGTAGATAGATAGATAGACAGACAGACAAACAAACAGATGGATTAGAGGGAGAGAAGATAGATAGATAGATAGATAGATAGATAGATAGATAGATAGATAGATAGATAGATAGATACAGATTGATAGATAGATAGATAGATATATATATATAGATTAGAGATAGAGATAGATTAGATAGATAGATAGATAGATAGATAGATAGATAGATACAGATGATAGATAGATAGATAGATGGAGATATATAGATTAGAGATAGAGATAGATAGATAGATAGATAGATAGATAGATAGATAGATAGATAGATAAATAGAAGGCCATTGAGAAATGTAGGGGTTTAGAACAGAGGCTCTAAATTGAATTAAATCATTTTTTAAAAAATATCCATTAGGCAGATTGCTCAGAGTCCTTGAAAATGGGGCAGCATATAAATGTAATCTATTATTTGGTCCAATAATCAAGCAGGTATTCTGCATCCTTGGAGGAGTGGGGAGCATGTTAGCAAGATAGAGACACAAAAGGAAGGTGTGCTTAATTGGAGCAACTTTGAAACATAAATGCTCAGTATGATTTATCTGAATTTTTATGGCAACGTAACTGATACGTTTCTTTTTATTAAGACAATCATTATCTTAATAAAGACAATGATTTCCTGAGGATAGTCACAGTAGAAGGCTGGGGAAGTAAGGTTTGATAATGATGAATATCTATGACCTATGCTTATATACAAGGTTGACTCAGCCTTCCATCCTTTCTAAGGTAGGTAAATTGAGGACCCAGTTTGTGGGGGCAATAAGCTGACTTTGTATAAATATACAAAAGGATGAAGGCTATTGCTGAGCACATTGTAAGCCGCCCTGAGTCTCCGGAGAAGGGCGGCATATAAATCAAATTTATATATATATATACATACAAGAAATCCTCGACCTACGACCACAATTGAGCCCAACTTTTCTGTTGCTAGGTGAGGCCGCTGTTAAGTGAGTTGCAGCTCATTTTATGACCTTCTTTGCCACTGTTCTTAAGTGAATCACTGCAATTGTTCTGTGAATTGTACAGTCATTAAGCAAACCTGGCTTCTCCCATTGACTTTGCTTGTCTGGGAAGGTCACCTGTCAGGGGCAAATAACACAGGTTTTGTTATTTGTTAACTAACATAGTTACCTTATTTTTTAATTTGATTTATTTTCTCTCTTTTAAAATGATGTTCAGATTTATTAGCTTTTAACATTCCTAAACTAATAAATGCTGGGAGAAATATCAACAACCTCAGATATGCAGATGATACCACTCTAATGGCAGAAAGTGAAGAGAAACTAAAGAGCCTCTTGATGCGGGTGAAGGAGGAGAGTGCAAAAGTTGGCTTGAAACTCAACATTAAGAAAACTAAGATTATGGCATCAGGCCCTCTCAATTCCTGGCAAATAGATGGGGAAGAAATGGAGGTAGTGACAGACTTTATTTTCCTGGGCTCCAAGATCACCGCAGATGGGGACTGCAGCCAAGAAGTTAAAAGACGTTTGCTCCTGGGGAGGAAAGCTATGGCAAATCTAGACAGCATGCTAAAAAGCAGAGACATCACCCTGCCAACAAAAGGGCGTCTAGTCAAGGCGATGTATTCCCCAGTTGCAATGGATGGCTGTGAAAGTTGGACCATAAGGAAGCTGAGCGCCAAAGAATGGAGGCCTTTGAATTCTGGTGCTGGAGAAGACTCCTGCGAGTCCCTTGGACTGCAAGGCCATCCAACCGGTCAGTCCTAGAGGAGATCAACCCTGACTGCTCTTGAGAAGGCCAAATCCTGAAGATGAAACTCAAATCCTTTGGCCACCTAAGGAGAAGGAAGGATTCACTGGAGAAGAGCCTAATGCTGGGAAAGATTGAGGGCAAAAGAAGAAGGGGACGGCAGAGAACGAGGTGGCTGGATGGAGTCACTGAAGCAGTCGGCGTGAGCTTAAATGGACTCCAGAGGATGGTAGAGGACAAAAAGGCCTGGAGGAACGTTGTCCAGGGGTCTCGAAATCTCGGACACAAACTTTGCAACTAACAACAAACTGATAAACAAGCTGGAGACTACCTCCAGATAAGAAAAGTTTGTTAGTACAACTTTGGGGTCTGGCTTATCTCTTTTGTGAACTCTGAACAACCTTTTCCCTTACAATTACATCCCTTCTGACGTCAGACCTCACTTTAATGAACACGTGTGATATTATGGGAACCAAATACGTAACATGCTTGACTACATGTAACTGATTTCCTATTGCAAAGGGGAGGTTACTTTTATTCTGTCCAATCAACTTTCCTCTTGCATTTTCTTTGTTGTGTTAACTATAAAAAGGTGGGAAACATGGGAGGGGGGCTCGAAGTTCTACCTCCCCCTTTTCTTTTCATAGAGACCCACTTTATCAGGGTACCTTAATAAACTGCTTTTAAATAATCTTCCGACTCAGTTGCTTATTGGAAAGGTAAACTGAGGCAGAACTTAGAGCCAGATTTGTCTTTCACATATCAGTTGCCAAGCGGCTGGATTTTGATCATGTGAACGTAGGGATACTGCAATAGTCATAACTGTGAAAAACAAACAGCCCTGTCACTTTTTTGAGTGCTGTTTGGTCACTAAATGGTTGTAAGTGGACGATTAGCTGTATGACTGTTTGATTTTTCTTTGCTGAACTTTATAAATATGACTATATCCTTTTGTCTGCAGGAATCCCTTCCATTATCCTCTGGAGGGAATTTCTTCATGGTATATTTCGTAAGTAAGTGGTGCTAGTGGTGGCGCTCTCGCCTCACAATCAGGAAGCTGTGAGTTCAATCCTAGAGGCAAATATTTCTCTCTCTGGGTACAATGGTAATATATCTGCTGAACAAAACTCCACATTGGCATCCATGTCAGGAAGAGCATCCGGCCAATAACATTCAGCTCCATTCAGTTTATTTATTATTTATTTATTAGTTTGATTTATATGCCGCTTACAGGGCGGCTTACAATGCTTTTAAGCAATAGCCTTCATACTTTTGTATATACCTGCTTAGTAGGGCTTTCGGCCTCCCCTAAGCGGTGTTCTATTTTATACAAAGTCATCTTATTGCCCCCACAATCCGGGTCCTCATTTTACCTACCTCGGAAGGATGGAAGGTTGAGTCAACCTTGAGCCTGGTGAAATTTGAACTCGCAATAATTGCAGGCAGCTGGCAGCTAAGTGCTACTTTAACAGTAGTTTAGTCCACTGCGCCACCAGGCTCAGTTGCCCAGACTCCACCCCGCAAGGGATTATGGGTTATTAAAAGATGATGATGATGATGATATTGTTCAATAAGTGTTAGCTGCAGTGAGCTCTGGGTAATTTTATTTATTCCATTTTTATGCTCGCTATCCAAATAACTTTTGGTTTGGGGTTCCTGCGTTTGATTCCACAGAAACGGTGGCAGAAGTTGGGATTCCTAATTTGCCAACTGGGTTATTTTGCAGAGTGTCAGTGCTAGATGGGAGACAAACTCTGCCCATTTAAGGCGCTCAGGCACACTTAACAGAACAGCACAGAATAACAGAGTTGGAAGGGACCTTGTAGGTCATCTAGTCCAACCCCCCCACCCCATCCCACCCAAGCAGGAGACGCCTACACCATTTCTGCAGACCTTTTTATTTTATTTTGTTCGTTTGTTTTTATGGCAGACCTTTGCCATTTTCACCTTGCAGCAACCAATTCCAGAGGAAAGCAACGTTTCAATCATGGAGAATATTTGTAGCCAAAGCAAACGTTTGCTTTGGGTGTCTCCAAAGTTGCAACTTCAAGACTTGTGGACTCCAACTCCCAGAATTCCCCCCATGGCTAGCTGGGGAATTCTGGGAGCTGAAGTCCACAAATCTGAAAAGTTGCCAAGTTTGGAAACCCCTACCATAATAAACCAAGGAAAAACAGAAACTGGCCTCTCTAGGAAAGAGAATCTCTCTACTCTTTTTTAAAGTCTCTATGCTCTGGCGCTCCCGGTCCCTGCAGGGCTCCGCCTCTCAACAGTGTGACGTAGCAGCTTCGTCGCCTTCGGCTTTCTCCTCCTCCCTCCCTCCCCCTACTTGCTTTACGGCCGTCTTGGGCGACGCTCCTCCTTTTCCTCTCCTCGCTAAGATGGCGGTGGCCGGGGTGAGCTTGCGGTTCCCGTCGAGGCCTAGAGTTCATCCGCCTCCATCCGGCTACCGGGAGGGCTGTGGGGGGCCCGGAGCCCGGGGTTGGGAAGGGACGAAGGAGGGCCTTGAAGCGGGGAGTCTCGCCGGGGATGGAAGAGGCCGGGCGGGCGGGCAGAGCCCGAAAGGGGGAGTGTCAGGCTGCTCCGCTCTTCCCTTGCCACGCGCATGAAGGGTTTAAACGGCACCGAAACGGCCAAGACTACAACTCCCATACGCTCGGGCCTAAAGGCCACGTCATATAGGCGCTGTAGTCCGAGCTGTCCTAAGACGGGAGTTTTATCAACCTCTGGTGGACTTTTTAAAAGAGGTGGCGGACTTCAACTCCCAGAGT